AGGAGCTTCATGAAGTAAAAAGGAAGAATGCAGCTCTTCAGATGCAACAATTTGTTGGGGAGGAAAAGAATGAATTGTTGGATTATTTAAGGTCCTTGCAACCTGAAAAGGTGAGAAATGCCTTCTACACCAACAAACACAGAATGCTGTGTGTTTGGTTTAAACTTGTGCAAGAAGGGCTGTAAAAATCAAGTTGACCATTTTAGCTAATAAACTCTAGTAAAACTTCTCCAGTTGAATTGAATGCTTCTGATCTATCTTTAGCTTCTAAAACAAAGTTCAGTCAATGCCCGAGTTAAAAAATTATTGATTTCACAATATATAAATAGATTTCCACGTGGTTTTCTGAAATCTTCTTTTTTAGTACTTTGGGAGGAATTATAAGTTAGACCGATGATTTTTTATATTTTTACATGTACGTATTTTCCTTTTACAGTGACAAATATTCTTTTGTGTACAGGTAGCTGAGCTATCAGAGCCAACCTCACCCGAACTTAGAGCCACGATTCATTCAGTCGTGCATGGTCTATTGGCAACTCTCTCTCCAAAGATGCACTCCAAAGGCCCCGATCTTGGAGACAATAACACTGCAGGAACTGTAGATGTTGGAACTGAAGCGGACTGTGTCGATCTTGTCGAGAACACTTCTCTTCAGTTCCAACCTCTTATTTCATTGCCACGCGATTACCTGGCTCGCTTGCTCTTCTGGTCAGTAGATTATTGCTCCCTATTTCTATTTTTATGTCATTAAAGAAGGTGCTGTCTAATTACAACTACAAGGAGTGTTTAGTAATTTGAAAGATATTTCCTGTATACCCCATTATACTTCCTTATTCCTCCTTTGTATTTGAGAGTCCCCAATAAATTAAATACTCATTTTTTATTTCCGAAAGTTGGTTTCCAATCGTACGAATGTTTTCTTTTTGGTTGCAATCCTTACAGTATTTGGAATATATATATATATATATATATATATATATATATATTCGGTTCTGCAAATATTGAGGGATTGACATTTTCGATTTTTGTCTGGTTTAAGGTGTATGCTGTTAGGGCACTACCTTAGAGGGCAAGAATACAGGTTGGAGCTTATGGAGCTTCTCACATTGCCATTTGTTGCAGATAGTGATTCTTCCACTGGTCGACATGTCATCTGAAGAACGATATTATGTCGTTTTCTTACTTTGTTTCATATAAACAAGTTGTTGAAGGGTCTAGCATTTTCACTCTTGTACTTGGTTTCATGTAAATACTAAATAGACATGAATTATATTCTGAATAACAAAAAACAATAATTGTAATTTAAAAATCTGTAATGAAACCAAACTTCATGAGTTTGTGGGGTTGGATATAGGAATGTTCCTAGTTCTCATTCAAACTAAATAATTCTTACCTCAAAATATGATCATGAAAATATGAACTATTTTGTTTCAATTTTTCTTTTCCCCCCAACCAAAAGTTGAAAATAAAAAGAAAGAACGTGTTTGAAGATTGTCATTTGTCAATTAGTGACAACATCATGGAAATACTATGCGGTAATTATATCTAATAGAAGTTCAAGAAATGAAGTGAAACATCTTATTTGTACTTGCCTTCGTTACATATTTGGATTGATGATTTATTCCAACTTGGAAATAATAATCAAACGTATAATATTGTTCTTCAAAAGCTAACCATCCTTTCATCGATAGATTCAGAGGGGANTTTTCTTCTGCAATTCTCCGGCCACATATTGTTAGTTATCTACTTATCTTATCGATATTTTTTGAGTCTTTTTTCTTCCAGACGTTGTTAATTCTTTCCGTAACGGAACCACCATAGCATTTCCCTTCAAATACCTACGAAACGTTTACAAATATTCATTAATAATTTTTTACTATCAAAAGTCAAAATCAGAATCGAGTAAACTATCTGTTAATTTCTTTCCTTGTTTTCTAATTAGCTCCCCTGTTATGGAGTTGAGAGACAGCCCTGAACCATGAGCCATGGAAGATCTCATGGGCTTGCTGCGTGGCCACGTCCCACGCGCCCATCTCCTCCAAATTCATGCGCGCCTTCTCCAGCTCGGCGCCCACCGGGACAACCTCGTCGCCACGCGCCTCATCGGCCACTACCCTCCAAGCTCCGCCCTCAGAGTCTTCTACAGCCTGCAAAACCCTAACATATTCCCCTTCAACGCCGTCATCAGGGTTTTAGCCGACGAGGGCCTCGCATCGAAAGCGTTTTCCATCTTCAAGGAGCTCAAAAACCGGCCCCTCTCGCCCAATGGCCTGACATTTTCTTTCCTCCTCAAGGCTTGTTCCAGGTACGCCGTTGGCCCGGTTTGTGTCCGGCAGCTCCATTCTCACGTCCTAAAATCAGGCCTTTTGTCCGATTATGCTGTTTGTAATGGCTTGCTCACAGTTTACTCTTCAGTAATCAAGGATTTACGCTCGGCACACAACATGTTCGATGAAATGCCCGAGAGAAATTCAGTTCGTCGTTGGACGTCCTTGATTTCGGGGTACGCAAAGCGTGGATTAGCCGACGAAGCATTAAATTTATTTCTTCGGATGTTGAGTGAAAATTTGTGTCCAGAAAAGGAAACGATGGTTAGCATTTTATCGGCATGTTCGAAACTAGCTACTCTGTATATTGAGAAATGGGTGAATGTACTCACACAGTGTTTGAATGAATCCAAGTGTGATACCTCGGCTCGTGATCATGTTAATACTGTGCTGGTTTATCTGTACGGAAAATGCAGAAAGGTCGAAAAAAGTCGAGAACTGTTCGATGAAATTTCATCCCACGGTAAAACGAGCGTCCTTTCTTGGAATACAATGATATGCACATACGTAAAGAATAACCGTCCTCTGGAGGCTCTGACCGTTTTCAAGCTAATGAACACAAATTACGATTGTGCCCCCAACCACGTCACAATGGTCAGCGTCCTCTCGGCCTGTGCCGAAATCGGTGACTTCGAACTCGGAAAGTGGGTGCACGAATACGCGAAAACCGAAGGTCGAAAGGGCGTATTATCATCAAACGTGATTCTTGCTACCTCATTAATCGACATGTACACAAAGTGTGGCGATTTGCATTCGGCAAAACACGTTTTTAACCAAATAACCTCAAACGACGTGGTCTCGTACAATGCCATGATCATGGGCCTCGCTGTAAACGGCGAAGCCCATGAAGCTTTAAAACTCTACTCAAGAATGCACGATCTATATTTACGTCCGAATTCCGCAACTTTCCTCGGAGCACTATGCGCGTGCAGCCACTCGGGCCTTTTAGAGAGAGGGCGCGAAATTTTCCACACCATGATAAGGGAAAATTCAGCTTGCCCCGGACTTGAACATTACGCGTGCTATGTGGATCTTTTATCGAGGTCCGGTTTTATCGAGGAGGCTCTTGGTGTAGTGAGCTCTATGCCTATGGAGCCCAATAACTTTGTGTGGGGTGCTTTGCTTTCGGGCTGCATGCTCCACAACAGGTTGGAATTGGCCCAGAATGTTTCGGCCATGCTTGTGGCAGTGGATCCCGAAAACTCGGCTGGCTATGTTATGCTGTCAAACACATTAGCTGCCGATAGTAAGTGGCGTGACGTGTTGAAGTTGAGGGGGTTAATGAGAGATAAACGGGTTGTTAAGCAACTTGGGAGGAGTTGGATCGATATAGGTGGAATCGTGCATGAATTTGTTGCTGGGCGTGGCTCGTTTGGTGAGACCGATGGGATTCGTGAGATGATGGAGTCTTTGTTGAAAGAGATGAGATTGTCTAGCTCATAAGGCAAGGCTTTTTGATACCCTCAAATAGTTTTCTTGAATTGAAATGGCATCTGAATTTAGGATTTCGTTCATGATGGATTTTGGTGGATTTATGTTGGTACATGGCGGTAGGGCTGTTAACGAACCGAAAGTTCGCAAACAAAAGCTCGTTCGTTTGGTAATCGAGTTGAGTTCGTACGGAAAATTAGGCTCCTTTAATAATCGAAGGAACACGAGCTCGTTCGCGAACGCTCGATAATGTTTGCGAATGTTAATTTAATATTATATTATTTTATTTTTTATATATTTACATCAAATTTTTAATAAAAAAACTAAAACATAAATATATTTTCATTCGAACGAACAAATTTCGAGTTAATCAAACATATTTATAATAAGTTTGTGTCCTAAATTATTCGAAAATGAACGGACTCGAACTTTGAAGAACAATTAAACGAACGATCTCAAACACAATTTTTTGTTCGAAATATAAACAAACAAACACGAACATTGTTCGAACATAAATGAACACGAGCTCGAAATGATCGGCTCGTTCGGTTCGTTTCACCAACATAACTGAGATGGAACAAGTTACACCTTT